TCCGACCCGCGCGAGCGCGGGTCGGATTGTCCTGTTGCGCAGTCTAAAGTTCCAAAACACGTTTTGACAGTTTTAAATTGGTTTTTTGTAGGGTTTATCGGTTTCAGGGGTTCTTAACTGACTTGAGATCATCCCTAAACGTTGTTAGGCTGCTGTTGACTGAAGATAGAGCCAAATCCCTTGTTCTTATCTAAATAACCGCATTTTGAGGCCTATAAATATGAACCAAAGGCCTCCATTTTCTGGGGCGATTGATTATCAAGACGAGGAGGTGCTGCCGGATTGTGGAGTCAAAGGAGCACGAATTTCAGCGAGGGTTGACAAATCTTGGCGAGTTCTTCGGCATAAAGAAGGAGAGTTCGAGAGATCCGACGCCCGTTCCCGTCCGTCCCTTGAGATTAGGCTTGGTCTTAATCTCGAGAAGAGCCCTGATTTCGCTTGGTCGATTTCAACGCTTCAAATCAAATACTTCCTCGGCGAAGGCGAAGCTCTGCCAAATTTTTCATCAACCGGATCCAGATCTAAGGCGGTCCACGGATAAACCCCGGCACAGGCAAAGATCCCACGCAAGCAGAAGACCGATAAACGATCTCTGCGTTTGTTTTGACGAGAGTTGTAAACTTTTGTTTTCATTGTGTAAAAGTCTTATAAAAAGACAATCTTTTTTTGTTTTCATTGTAACGATTGAAGTTGTAATGAATACCGCAATGAATACATCAATTTTCGACGCAAACAAACTGGCGACCACAGTGGGAGACAACAGCTTCGCTTCCGGAGCTGTCGTGTCGCAACCTCGGATCTGCATCCCGGTTGAAGAAGTGGTCGAATACGAGTTCGACCAACTGAAGTTCGAGGAATATCTGTCGTCCTCCTCCTCCAGATCCTCCGCCTCTCGCAAGCGAAGGAAGATCAACGCCCCCGTTGTTGCGCTAGCTGAACCTTACAACGCCCTTCCGGTCTCCAATGAGTCCGGATCTGCAGATCTGAACTCCTCCTCAATCAAGGAGTTGAGTACAGAAGGCGCGCCTATTTTATCAAAGAGAACTCGTCAAAGGCAGCGCCAACGTTGTGCGCGCCAACTCGCTAGAGCCTTGGAGTCAATTGACGGGATCCGTTATGAGGCGGATCTGAAAATTAGGCAACGTCAAGCGCCCCAACAGCGGAAAAATGCCCTCTCCTCCAAATCACCAACAAGTGAATGGGTACAAGTCAAAAGGACCCGTTCAACTCTTGAAGAGCGGATCAAAAAGCGTCGCGTACTGCTTGCGCGCGCGCGAATTCTTGCGCAAGAGGTCAAAAGATTGCAGAGGGAAGAAGTGGAAAAGAAGCCACCAAAACTGCACAAAGTTTGGAGGCCAAAGTCCAAGACGGCGGCCGAAAAGATCGAAAAATGCGGGTCACTCAAATCCGACCCGCCGAATTGAATTTGTGAATGCAGGATATTTCCTAAGATGCAAGCAACCTACAATGTGTACACATTGTACTGGATGGCTATTGCTCTGGGGCATTTAGGTATTTGGTTTTCGTTGGTGATTTTTTTATTTTTAGGCTATGATGATTGTCAATTTTTCTGAGATTAGCAACCTGCAATATCTATTGATATTGCATTGGATGGCTAACAATGATGATATTGACCAAGTTCTGAGCCCTAAGCTAAACACAACATGTGCTCAGTCTATGTTGGTAGTTGTTGTTGTTGCTGGTTGCTGGTTCTTCTGATTTGGTTGTTGCTGGTTAGTTTGGTTGTTGCTGGTTTTTGCTGGTTGTTGTTGGTTGGTGGTTTTTTGGGTTTGTTGTTGCTGGTTGTTGGTTGATCTTGTTGTTGGGTTTGTGGTTTCTTGTTGTTGCTGGTTGTTGGTTGATCTCTACGTTGTTGGGTTTGTGGTTTCTTGTTGTTGCTGGTTGTTGGTTGATCTCTACGTTGTTGGGTTTGTGGTTTCTTGTTGTTGCTGATATGGTGTTCTCTACGTTGTTCCTTCTGTTTTTGGTTGTTGGGTTGGTGATTTCATTCCAGGTTGCTAAAAGAAGTTCTTGTTTGTTGTTGGGTTTGTGATTTCCTTCCAGGTTGGTTTTTGGGTTTGTTGTTGTGTCCAGGTTTGTGACAACTTCCAGTTTTGTGCACACCAGTTTTGTGAGCTCACTGTTTGTGGATGCTCTGTTGTTCATCTTCTATTTGAGCTAATGTTTTGTGGAGTTCTATGTGTGCTCAGATTTTCCGTACTATTTGTTGATTTTGATACTGTTTGTGGGTGTTCAATTTAGGCTATGATGATTGTTAATTTTTCTGAGATTAGCAACCTGCAATATCTATTGATATTGCACCGGATGGCTAACGATGATGATATTGAACAAGTTCTGAGCCCACAGTCATAATTCACATATACTGGATGGCTATTTGCTATGTTATGTACTAAAATATGGCTATTCAGGCCGTTTATATGTTTTTATAGGTTTCAGAAATTTTTTTGGCTAATTCAGGTACGTATTTCATAAATTTATGAATAATCAGGTTATTACAGGTCTTGTTTATTTTTTCTTCGAAAACAGGTTTTGTGTGATTATTTTCATCTCAAACAGGTATATTTCATGTCAAATCAGGTACGCAGTTCATGTTACAGTAGGTTTCAGATGATTTCAGGTTTCGTATGATTTCATTAATACAAACAGAAATTTATAATTCATTCGGGTTATTAATATTTGTTCATGATACATTCGCACTTTTATATGATTAAGATTACATCTCATAACTAGCACAAATAATTTTTGTCTATAGTGGGGGGTAATCTTACCATGGTGACTCTAAACACTTTTCCCTACACACTTCAAAACCAACCAAACACAAGAAAAGTGGGAAATGTCAAATCAACATAAGTTTTCCCTTTTTTTCTCTTGCAAACCAAACACAAGAAAAGTAAAAACATTGGTTTCTCACCATTTATTTGTGCGAACCAAACCAAAACAAACTATTTATTGGAAAAGTTTGGAAAACTAAAAACATTGGTTTCTTTACTTGGAATTACATTTCCCTAAATCTAGGAAACGAACCAAACAGCCCATTAGGAGAAAGTAAAACAAGCAATTTATGATTCCAATGGAATAAAAAACAAACAAAGAAAAATAAAAAAATAAAATTGATAAGGTGGACAACAACTTTACAAGTTGTGTCATGAATACACAATTTTACCAACAAGAACCAAACAGCCCCTAAATTTGTCGTATCCACTACCACGCTTCTCTTCTTTCTTCGCTCCAGAGAGACGAGGTTTGGAGAAGAGAGACCAGAAACTTCCGATCCAATCCCCTTAGAACTCCGAACCCATAATCCTTTTCTTTCTTTCTTATTTAAAGAAAGATGACAGCTTCACCTTCTCACCGATGATTTCTTGAAATCATTAGAGAACCCAAAACCCCTAAAAATCCTCGTACATTTCCGTCGACCTCCTTCCGTCCCCCTCTCAAAACACATTTCGAGAAATCTATGGATTTTTTTGGGGCTCGTCGTCGTCAAGCTCAAGCTTGCATTTTCCCCTTCGATCTTGGGCCTAGGGTTTCGCCTTCCCCAAGTCTTCTCCCGATTTCCACAGCTGCCTCCGTCGAGAGCTTCGAGACATCGATCCGCATCAAGAACCCCCGAATCTGACCGTCTAATCTCGAATTGTTCTTAGACAATTCACCGTACTTCGTTCCCGGAGCTGATCGGTTTCAAACGACGATTTCAGGCGAGGTACGCTATGAACTTGTACTCATCACCCGATACCAACTCTCTTCATTCAAATTCTGCTCTTCCCCCACTCAGGTTGCGTTTCGAGAAACCTAGGGTTTCGTACTCCACACTCTGTGAGGCGTCGTTCCTTTCTCAAGAAGCTTCGATCTCACTATCACTGAACTTCGCTCTCGGAGCCTCTTCTTCCTGCGACGATGACAACCAAGGTAGTCTCTGAACTTTGTCCGACTGAATATAAGTTCTTGATGGTAATTTTGCTGGTCGATTTTAATTTTGGAGAGTTATTTGGTTTTGATCTGATAATGATATTATGAGTGGTAGATTAGTATTATTCAGTTGTTTGTATGGGTTTCATGTTGCTCAAACTCCTCTTTCATCGTTCTTTTCTTGCACTTATTGTTTAATTTCTGGCGTAAGTTCCCGAAATTTTCTCAAATGGACTATTTCATTGTAGCGACAATTACACTGTGCAATGGACCCCTCATTTAAGAATTAACTTCCATAATTTTGGAGATGGTATGTTTAAGAATCATCTGTTTGAGAGGGTGATCCCTAGGTTGATCCTTTGGATGCTACACGAATATAGTGAAACTATGGTGACCTTTTGTAACTGGTCAATTGTGCTGCATCGATACTATTATTAGACTGATGTATCAGATTGCAACTTGAGTCATTGCGTGTAACTGAGATATTTTTAATACTTGTAGGTTTTTGTTTCATCGTAACTAATGCACATAGTTTTTAAGCTACATTAAATGATATATACATAAGTCATAGTTCCGATCTTTTGACTTTTGGAGCTGCAAACGAGGTTAAATTGCACCTCTAATTACAACAAATCCCTAACAGAGGTCCAAATCAATAACCCAAAACAAATATCTACTCTATTTTAAAATATAACCATACAACTGACCACAAATTCTTACGTCAACGGTTGCATTGTCAATCCAATTTTTTCTAGCATCGCAATTAGGTAAGGTATATAACTACTATAAGTTTCAATATCTTGACTTTCTGAGAGGTCCTTTGTATAATGCTTTTGCATTTTATCCATGATCATTAATTTTTCTTCTTCATTAAAACTATTATATATCAGACAGATTTCTGGCATGTAATTGATCTCTTACTCTATGTTTGAGTCTTGTCTACCGAATAGGAGGTGCGCTGTTGCTTCTAGTCAAAATTCTACTGCATAGCACGAGAACTTTTACTTTCATGCATTTTTTGCATTGAGGTAAAATATAGACCTCATGCATTATTAAATCTCTCTCAGTTATGTCTTTTATCAGAACTATCATATGAGTCCAACATAATTTGAGAAATGTAATAAAAAAGTTAATTCATTTTCCTTATGGGGGCCATGCTGTTCGTTTTCTTATTGAGAAAATGCTTCATCCATTTCTCTATATCTTCTAATAAATTGACATTTTTCTTTCTTTGCAGATTGTTTGGCCAGACAGAAAGACTGTTTGTATGCTCTCTCATCTCTTTCCTATAGATGCGCGACTATTTTAAAGAACACAAGTGATTAATATTGGTCAAATTTGTCAACCAAATTAAAATCAAAATATCACTTAAAGTGAAAAAATGTTATCTATCCATCCATCCATCCATCTATCTTTCTGCGAGTAGTATAAAGGTGCATATATAAAATTCAAGCAAAATCAAACATGTTTTCATTTTAGTTTCAACATAATGAATGAAACAAATATGATATATAAAATGTACCATTCATTTGCTTGTTGAATGTTTGTTGTCACATCCCACTCAAAAGTTTTACAGTTACATATATAAATTCTATGATGATTGATCTTCATCCGTGAAAAGAACACATAGGAGAAAAAACTTAGTTGAAACAAAGATTTCTTGAATGAAGTAATCTAATGTTCAAACCACATTATTAATCAACTCAAAATCATTTAGTATGGTTAATATTCCTATTTTTAGTTGAGGCATGCATACTGCATTTTTTTTTGTTTGAAAAATTGTAGAATCTGGTGTAGCCTGCTCAGCAACTTAATCCTGTCGGAAACTTAATCCTTTCCTTTGGACTAAGTATTTAGCTAAATTATATGCTTTCACAATACAAGTGTTTTCATGGTATAAGCCAAGTATGTTTATGGTGACGCCTTACATTCTTCTCTTCCTCTCTAAAATGATAAGTTGAAAGTCTTTTTACTCTCTTCCTTCAAATTCTAAGTTTTCTTCTTAAATTTCCAGGCTTGCTCTTTTTGCTAAGTCTTCAATTGATGTCTCATTCATCTTGTGTGCAAATCCTTGAATCAATTGGCATCTTCTGAAGACACCGGTACTGAAGATTCTTCCTCAGCTCATGCCATTCATCAAGCAAAACTTTTAGGAAAAACTATACTATTAAGGAGACAACTAGCTAGGTCAACTGATGACTAGCGCCCTAATAGATGATCTATAATCTGGATGGTTATCAACTTCAAATTAATTCTAATGGTATTCAAACTTTCATTCTAGCTAAGTTGCACGGAAACGGGTATGGGTACGGGTATGGGACACGACAAAACTTTTTATCATATTGGTTATCATAAATTGATAACTACTCATTTTTTTAACTAGACATCCAAATGACCCATTAACTATATAGTTTTGAACTTGGGTATAGATTGAAACGTACGATCCATATCTAACTAGTTTTAAGAAACGGATGTGAAGTGTAAGCTATACGTTCAGGAAGTCTTTGACAAGTGTTTCAAATTAACATATATTGTATAATTGAGCACATGTAGTAATAACTCCATGCATATATTCAAGAAGTGTCCATGAAATTTGGGTACGAGAAAGTGTCGGCACGTGTCCGGTACGGGTACAGCTTCATTATAGAAGTATAACATAACATTCTAGTAAGTTTCCTGAGTAATATCTCAGCCATGCCCTCTTCGAGTTATCCTCTTTCAGTTACTTTATGCCTCTCACGAGCTGAATTACCAAAGAATTCCTTGAACCCAAGTCATGGTTACATATTTTCGCAATTGTTAACACAAGAATCCACTATTAAGCTTTTATGTGCCAAAAATGATTCACAGCCAATATGTGACGTTTCGGTTTCACACAAGGCTGCAGTCTAAGGTGAACCCAAAGATGTCAAACCTGCCATGCACCCACACTGTGCAACATGTTTCACCATCATAATAACATCTCTAGGGAAAATCAAACAATAAACAAGTGTAGGTACAAATAGATAGAATAACGATAATGATACAAGGAACACAATATAGAGAAAAGAAATATATTTGACAAACAGAAATAAAAGTAACAAATCTCTGAATACAAGAGTTAACTGAATACAGTACTAAGACACTCAGCCTCCAAAAAGAAATACAACTCTAAAAGAAAACTAAACTCATAAATAGTCTATTGTGGAGCACTGACTAGCTAACTACTAATAAATGACGGTGAGCTTATGCTAAGTCCCCCTCAACCTGCGACTCTCCGTGCACCTGACTCGTTGCCTGAAAAAGATAGAATCAACAAGCGTCAAAGTGCTTGCGAGAACATCTCCACCGCCCCTAAGAGGAAGGGGGTTAGGTGTATAAAAAAACACATGTTAGTACATATAGATATATAAATCATCTATACTGAACTAAGAGGAATTAATATTTAGAAATTCACAACACGAGAATGGGTACGTCGAGCGAAATAACCCAAACAAAGAAACCCTCATGTATATATCTCGTATCTCAAGTTGTGAATCGCTAAATATCAACTCCAAAATCCTATGAATACAATAATCAATACCAACCTCATCCAGAATATGACATAAAATCTCACACTACCATTAGATAGGTGGCGCGATAACGAGGATAAATATCCGGTAAAAGATCTCATTCAGGATGCATCGTGCATGACAAAATATGATCTTATAAGATACCCTCGGGATAAATAACACGGGAGCAAATACACAATTCTGTACAATCCTCTTCTACGTAAATGGTGTGGAGTATAGGTGCTCACAATATCCTGTGGCTCATTGCAATATATTGCAGTTCACTACCTTACTCGCACCCTGCGAAGTATAGGCCTATCAGCCTAATTCGGAAACACAACGATGCATCATAGAGTGAAGTCTACCGCGGTCTCGTTGCAGTATATCAACTAACACACTTTTAGTATAGTCCATCCGCGGTCTCATTACGGGATACCAACTAACCCCACTCAAGCATCCACAACTATTATAAAATGATACAAACTCAAAATGATAGATTACACACATCTAATAACTCGTGCGTGCTCAAAACAAAATACAAATACATGTACACACTCACGACTCATGCACGTGTAGTCAATTTTAACCCAAAATTATAGCTACCAGTTATTGGCCCAAATTTCTATTTTAAAGATAACATTCTTTCTTCTTCTATCGAAGTAACTCACATAGTCATGTATGAATACCCAACAATATGAGATTTACCCCCTAAGAAAATAGTTTGAAATTTTAATCAAATTAAACTAGGTTAACTCAGTCAAATCCCTAATCTTATAACTTGATTCATTTATTAATTAGTATGTTTAAACAGATTATCTCGATTGTGATTCATATTCACTATTTTTTTTGCATTTCTGACCCGCAAATAATAGATACTCACTCCTACCCGTAACACGATTATTATCTTCTATATCAAAAAGGTAGACTAATTAATAATGATGATTAACTTTTAATGTGCAAATTTGACTCATTATGACATTCAGGGTAAACGCAAAGACTTTTGTGAAGAGGGGGTCTACATGTGAATTCCAAGGGTAAAAGATCTCATCCAGGATACATTGTGCATGACAAAATATGATCTTATACGATATCCTCGGGGTAAATAACACGGGAGCAAATACACAATTTTGTATAATCCTCTTCTACGTAAATGGTGTGGAGTATAGGTGCTCACAATATCCTGTGGCTCATTGCAATATATTGCGGTTCACTACCTTACTCGAATACCCTGCGGAGTATAGGCCTATCAGCCTAATCCGGAAACACAATAATGCATCATAGAGTGAAGTCTATCGCGGTCTCGTTGCAGTATATCAACTAATGTACTCTTAGTGTAGTCTATCCGCGGTCTCATTACGGTATACCAACTAACTCCACTCACGCATTCACAACTATTGTAAAATGAAACAAACTCAAAATGATAGATTACGCACATCTAATAGCTTGTGCGTGCTCAAAACAAATACATGTACACACTCACGATTCATGCACGTGTGTCGACGCACATCTCGCACTTTGTGGTTGCGATCAAACGCATATGAACAATCAACATATGCAAAGCAGTTCACTATCGGTCGACCGAAACATCCCTTCGGTCAACCGGCGGTAATGTGCACAACATGCACACCAAGAACAACCTTGATCAGTCGACCGATGCCTAAGGTTGGTCGATTGACCGACCAGAGATAAATTCCAACTTCATGCGTGCAAATCGGTCGATCAATTTCCTTGATCGGTCGACCGCCCAGAACAAAAATCGTAAAATAGGTTATAGGTTACAGGTTTCTCACAATTGTCAAAAATCGATCTTTTTCAAGTAAAGCTCATGTGTTAAAACTTGTTTAATGTAATTAGGGTTCACTTTGTTACATGAAATCATATTTATCAAATTTGAGGGAATTCTAACAACCCTAGCATAATCGTGTTTGTAAAAACGTCATGAAAACAATTTAATAAAATCTCACATTTGATTAACTTCAAAATTTAACCTAAAACAGAGAATCCGTTTTATAATATTTTAAAATCAGAAAGATCAAATCTTTGTATCATACAGTTTAAAAGAGCGATCTTTATACTTAAACTAGGTTTTAAAAATCCAATAAAATCAAATAAAACCAAATATAAACGGGAATGTGATTGGAGGAGATGTAACTCGCCTCAAAACTCGTGCTGAACTCCCACGAACGCGAGTGACACGATCCTCCTTCACCAAAAGCTGCGGATCTCGCCCTCCTCTTGATTTTTGCTTCTCAAAGCTCTCAAAACTCACAAAATAAACTCTAGTTTTTTTTGAGGGGAGAGGGTGGCTTTTGTTCACGTGAAATATGAAGAAAAAGGGGAATTTTGGGTATATATACTTATATATATACAAACAAACCTGAACCGGAACAAATCCTAACCCGAAACTGAATCCTACCCGAAACTAGACATCCATCGGTCGACCGATCCTCTGGATCAGTCGACCGACCCGTGGTTGATTCAGCCGACTGGTTTTCGTGCATTCGTGCATGTTTATTTTTATATTTATTCATATATGTACTTAATCGATTTTAAAATCGATTACTAACATACTCATTCATCCCAAAATTGTATCAATCATTATAAAACTCATTTAATATTATTTTTCATAATATTTTTAAATTTACGGGGTTTTACACAATACCCCTTTCCTTTCCTTTCCTTGAATTCAAAACCGTATTGAAGCAAGAAATTTAAATTACCCCTAAATAGTTGTAATTATCAATATACCTCTAATTATTCGAAATTACTAATATACTTCCCACATTGTTCATAATTGCATATTTACCTTATATCCTCATAATTATTAAATTTGTTAAATTTACTATTAAATCTTTCCAACTATATATGCCACACTTTAAATCTTTCCAAATACTTTGAGGAAAAGCTAATGTTTAATGGAAAATGTAACAAGCATATATTAAGGGTAAATTTGAATAAAACTATGCACTTATAATCTTTCCAAACTCCACCCAGAAGATTGATTATCAACTCAGTAATTTATAGGGGTTCTTTTCAACGGTTATTAAGTGTAAATTGCTTATAACCTATAGTCTCATCAACCTTGTACTCTAATGTTCTTTATTTTAAAATTGTGCACTTAAATGCCCAAAGTATTTAAATACTGCAGATAAATACCTTAAAGCTAAAAATGTCTCTGACAATGTTAACTTTTCTCTATGTATAATAACAAATAACAAAGGGTATTAAAGTGCAAGTTTTAAGAATTTTAGGGCATTTAAGTGAGATCATTTACAAGTTAGCGGTATTTATATGCAACATTAGGTAAATAAGAGGACATAAATGTGGCAAACAAGAGGGTACTAACGTATAACATTTTGAACACCTATCTGCAACACCTAAATATATTTAAGTTCTTTAATGCTAAGATTTTGTTGGTCAATTTTAGTCAATGAATGCGTTGGATTGTGGGATTAGTATCATTGAGTGAATACTTTGCTGCTAGAAACTCCTCTGTCAGCATTCTTTTCTTGTATCCGGTGTTGCTGCTAGAAACTCCTCTGTCAGCATTCTTTTCTTGTATCCGCTGAATTTTGTTAGAGAGGAAAGATTTTAGTCTTAGATTTGGTAATTTTGGAAAACTTAATTTGCTGGTTTGGATCTTATATTATGGTTTTATTTAGTTGTATGTATGGTGTATTTTGTAAGCATTCCCCCCTGATCTGCCAGAGAAAGTGGATTGGAGGAACAAAGGGGTTCTGCACGAAATAAGAGACCAACAAAACTGCAGTATGTTTCTCACCATAGCCCAAACTTTAATGTTGTTCCTTTCATTTATCCAAATTGTAAAATTTCGTTATGTTGATAATTTTGATAACTTTACTATATTTTTCTAAATAATTCCACTATATAAGGTTTACCTCATTCATGCATATGTTTTAGTTAGTTCTATACAACTTTAATTGTGCAGCGAATGTATCTTGTCATATTGAAACTAATCTGGAGTAGTTGTATACAACTTGTTATTTTGACAATTTTCTTCAATAAATTAGTTTTTTTATGGATAAATGAAACTAAATCTACATATATATCATTAATTAGGCGCTATTAAGTGTGTTTTTAAATAAAGGGTTTTTTGGCTACATACCACCTAAATCATTCATATTTATTAAATTACACCTCAAATTTTCATATTTATTAAAATACCATTCAAATATTAAATTTTGAAACATTCCTCCCCCAACATAACAACAGATGTTAAAATCCTAATAGTTTAAAGGGATAGTTACAATGCTAACCATATCTAATATCCCTTATTCTCCAAACCAAAAATATCACTTGCCCCCCAAATGAAATTCATACCGCTAAGTGCTCACTTTTCCTCCAAATCAAAATCACAGCCCTAGCTCGCGGCTGCACCGAAGTTTGCAACCCTATGCTCAATTTGTTGGAGGCTTGGAAATTCCATCGAATGGTTTAGAAATCTAAATGAATGTATACTTTGGGTAACCACGGTTTGTTTTTGTTGTATCATTACTGTTTAAAGGGTCTCCTCTGTGTTAATTTGTTTGGCCGAAAACCAGTTTTTGGGCATGCATTGCAAGAATCAGTTTGGTGAGCAGCTAGTTTCTGGCACTAATTAGGGTTGAATTTGCTACTAGTTCTTGCTAGCACCTTACGTTTGACAATGATCTTTGATGAATTTCCATCGAGTGTCTTACCAAAACATTGTATCTCTTTGTCAACAGCTTATTTCACGTGGGTTACTTTAGAAATTCTACAATTTTATATGGTGACTTAACATTAAGTTAGATGTTGAGGGTAGACTAATCCAACAAAAAGTAAGATTTGGGGGTGTACTTTAATAAATATGAAGATTTGAAGGGTAATTGAATAAATATGAATGATTTGGGGAGTATATAGCATAAATCCCTAAATAGAGATATATAATTTAGTAAAGGATACATTAGAGAAATGCCCAAAACAGATATGTCCAACACAGATATGCCTTTGCAGTGGTCGATGGGTGTGTCTATGCTGCATAGCTTGACAAGTAATCTCGATTTGGAGGCTTACATTTCGTTTCATTGTCCCCTGTTTAATGAAACAATTCACTGCTCTTCACATATTTTCTTGAAAAAAATCTTAATTAGAGACAAAAGCTATAAGCCAATAACACAGAAAACTTATTATAATTGAGATAGCTGATTGTCCTGCAACTGGAACTTGCTGAGCACATACAACACATCATCTAGTTAATTTAAATGCGGCTTGCTATTGTGTCTTCCAAGCCACTATATGATGCACACATCTTCAAAATGTTCAACTCTCTGCTAGCCCTCAATGATTCATATCCATGTTGTTGCTAGAACTTAGACTTATAGATGACACGTGTCACTCTGTACTAATTTTACAAAACATATCTAATAGTGTGTTTGACTATCTTTACTAACCTGGTTAATACCTTATCCAGGTTAGCTAGTTTTGATATAAGTAGGGCTGTTTCAATCCAAACACGCCCCAAAATTATTTAGAAGGCTCTCACAAGAACGAAACCGCCTTTATTACAATCTAAGGGATTCTAGTGTTAATGCAGTCTCATGCGTCTCATCAAACAATGTATTATTTTGTGTTTCTTCTTGCTTGTGTTTGAAGTAGTATTTCTTGCTGCTTGATTAAAGTGGAGGAGAAATTGTAAACAATTAAATGTAAAAATATAGTTAGGTTAGAAGATGACTATTTACTGAAAACACTTTTGTATCTTGTCTACTGATGGTTCTCAAAACATGTAGTTTAACAACTTATTCTCCCTGACTAATAAAGGGTTGTACTTGCGCTGTAGCTTGTTGCTGGGCACTTGTTTCTTGTGAGGCTATTTCATCCATGGATATGATAAAACATAAGCGTGAAGGCATTAAAGTGCTCTCTCCACAGGATTTAGTTAACTCTATGGAACCCAAGGACCAGAAAAAGAACAAAAAAAAAATGGTTGTTATATTTCATCAATTAACAAGGCCTTCAAGCACATTATGGATCATGGGGTCAGATATGAATTTGATTGTCAATACTTGGCTAAAAAAACCTGTCATACTCCACCTCCACAAAAGGTAATCCATGTAACATGTTTTTATAACTTTACCACATTTCATGTTTTATATACATTGTCGAGTCATTCTATTTATTTTCTCCCTCAACCATTATTTAGGGGGAGCGCTTCTTTAAAATTAAGGGTTTTATCACAATCAAGGACGATGATAGTGCAAATCGTGAAGTATCTCTTCTTAAGGCTGTTTCTGCGCACCCTGTCCCCGCCATGATAGAGGTGCGCCGGTGTCTGTTTCAAGGATATTACATGAAACGGCAAGAGGTATAAATTTTATTTTTCCTACTTGTACACTTTCCATATAGCAACACATGTAATTAGGTGTTAGAAGAAATTTAATGTGGTGGCTGCAGTGAGATAGATTAGAGATATAATAGAGGGTAAAGACAGAAGCGTTGTAGAATGAGGGAGAAGAAAGAGGGATGAGAGAGGAGAAAGAGAGAAGATTGTTGAATATTGTCTGATTATTTCCTCTCACAGCTGATACAATTATAGGCTATCAGCCCTTGATTATTGCCTAAACAAAAGCACTAATAAAAATAGAAATGTAAAGCAAATTCCTAAATCCTCCCTAAATCCTGCCTAAGGCTTAGCTGTCCAGATTTCCTCTTGCTGGCTGATTTCAAATCAGACCTTAATTGCACTTTCCAATTTTAGCATTCCTCTTGCTGGCTGATTTCAAATCAGACCTTAATTGCACTTTCCAATTTTAGCATCATCAGTTCATGATTGAATGCAATTGTATCTCTGTTACGTCTTGTGTAAACCTTTAGGGGCTGGTTTAATTGTGTAACATTCCCACCTCCATGGGAAGATGACTTGTCCTCAAGTCGGAGTTCATCCAAATTAACCAGGTCCTCCCAACTTGAGTCTTCTAACAATAGGCCTGACCACTGGACGAGAGCTTGAGGGACAGATTCTCCATTTCGAAGTATGGTACGCCTAGCTAGAATGGCAACTGGTTGGTGGATTGGATGATTATCCTTAGTTAGGCTAGGCAAATCATGAACATGTGGTGTTGCTTGGCCATGGTATGGTTTTAAGAGAGAACAGTGAAAGACGGGATGAATGCGAGTAGTTGATGGTAGTGTCAGGAGATATGCAACTGATCCAATGCGTTTCTCTACTTTAAATGGCCCGTAATAGCGCAATCCGAGCTTGTGAGCTGAGCTTTGGCGTGCCGTCACTTGACGGTAAGGCTGGAGTTTTAGCAACACCAATTGGCCAGGTTCAAAAGTCATTGCAGTGCGGTTCTTGTCAGCGTAGAATTTCATGGCTGTTTGTGATTTCAGCAAGTTGTCCCTTAGTTGGGATAATATCACATCACGGGAACGGAGGTCTGTGTCAACTGCTTCGAAGGCAGAGGTACCGCTACAATAATTGAGCATTGATGGCGGTTTATGGCCAAATGTGACTTCGAATGGCGTCATGCCTGCTGAAGCTTGAAATGTTGTGTTGTGATGGTACTCTGCCCAACTGAGTAAATTGGCCCACTTTTTCGGTTGGTCGTGAACAAAGGCCCGCAAGTATTGCTCAATGCATCGGTTGACACGTTCGGTCTGTCCGTCTGATTCTGGATGGTATGCAGATGAAAAGTTGAGCTTTGTTCCCTGAAGTTTGAAAAGTTCCCTCCAAAAATGACTTTGAAAGATTGGATCACGGTCAGAAATAATGGATTTAGGCATTCCATGAATTTTGCCCACCGACTCCCAAAAAATGGCTGCAACTCGAGGGCCGTTGTATCGTCGTGGTAAGGCAGCTAGATGCACCCCTTTAGAGAAGCGATCAACCACTACCAAAATAGCTGTATGCCCTTCAGATGGTGGCAAATGAGTGATGAAGTCCATCGATAGGTCAGCCCACAGGGAAGTTGGAGGAGCAATTGGTTGCAGCAATCCATAAGGGTGCTGATTTGTAGGTTTGCATTTTTGACATATGTCACAAGAGTGCACATAGTCTTTGACATGTTGCTGCATTTTCTTCCAATAAAAGTGTGGTGTTAGCCGTTGGACAGTGCGTTGCACACCAGAGTGACCACCAAGAAGAGTTGAGTGATATTCAGCCAAAAGGATGGGAATTAGGGTTGAGTTTTCTGGTAAGTATATGCGACCTCTATAACGCAGTAAACCATGTGAGAAGGACCAGCCTGCTGTTTTGGATTTATTAGCTGATATTTCAGCTATAATTCGCTGGCAGTAGAGATCATTAGCCACTTCTTGCTCCAAGGTTTTCAAGTCAGAACTAACAGGTCGAGAAATGGCTAGGAAGACTTGGTCAGTTTTGGTGATCAGGTTGCCAGGTTTGGAAACAGATGTTGTGTCAGTTGTGTTGTGATCCATGGAGGTGGAAAGGGCTTGACCTGCCATGGTCTGAGTGTTGTTGGTGAACTCGGGTACACGAGAGAGAGCATCTGCTGCGGCATTCGAAGAACCCGATTTGTATTCAATGGAGTAACTGTAGCCCACAAGTTTGGATAGGAATTGTTGTTGCTCCGGAGTTTGAATGGTCTGTTTTAGCATATTTTGCAAACTGCGATGGTCGGTTCTAATAAGAAAGTGATTTCCCAGTAAATATTGGCGCCATTTTGCCACAGCTGATTGAACTGCAAATAACTCTCTAACATATGTGGACTTCCCTTGCATTGTTTTTGAGAGTTTTCGACTATAGAATGCGATCGGGTGCGATTGCTGCATGAGTACTGCACCTATGCCTACACCAGAAGCATCAGTTTCCAACACAAACTGTGAAGAGAAATTTGGTAATGCAAGCACTGGTGCAGATGTCATTGCTGATTTGAGCGTGTTGAAAGCTTGGTTTGCCTTTTCGGACCAATTGAAACCATCTTTTGTGAGGAGATCTGTCAGGGGGGCTGCTATAGATGCATAATGACGAATGAAACGTCGATAGTAGCCCGTGAGACCAAGAAAACCTCGAACTTGCCGCTGATTGGTAGGAGTCGGCCAGGCACTGATGGCTTCGATTTTAGAGGGATCAGCTGCCACCCCTTGTGTTGAGATTATGTGGCCCAGAAATTCGATGGAAGGGCTGCCAAATGTACATTTGGATCTTTTCACTGCCAGATTGTGCTCTTTTAGTGTGGAAAATATTTTTCGAAGATGGTCAATGTGTTCCCCATGGCTGCTGCTATATACCAAGATATCATCGAAAAATATGACCACAAATTTCCGTAGATATTGTTGGAATACCTCGTTCATTAGAGCTTGAAAGGTCGAGGGTGCATTTGTGAGTCCGAATGGCATGACTAAGAATTCAAAGTGGCCATGGTGTGTGCGGAAGGCAGTTTTGTGCACATCGGTTTCACACATTCTCACTTGATGATAACCTGAACGAAGGTCTAGCTTAGAGAAAACTTTTGCATCATGGAGCTCATCGATTAATTCATCCACTGTGGGAATTGGAAATTTGTCTTTGATGGTGGCTGCATTCAAGGCACGGTAATCTACGCAAAAACGCCATGTGCCATCCTTCTTTTTTACCAATATCACCGGTGAACTGAAAGGTGAGCGACTTGGACGAATAACTCCTGTTTTGATCAACTCGCTGACCTGCCTTACAATTTCATTTTTTTGAAAGTGAGGATAGCGGTATGGGCGAACATTTACCGCTTCTGTGCTTGGATGTAAGGGAATGCAATGGTCTACAGAGCGAGGTGGAGGTAGGCCGATGGGTTCAGCAAACACATCTTGAAATTCGTCCAACAGTTTTACCAAAAATGGTGGCTGTTGTTCTGTATTGTTGGCTAAAGACAATGTGTTCGTAGTAGTTGGTGTGGCCTGCAAACACATGTAACAGGAGCTTACACCCCCTGATGTGACCATCTTGTTGAAGCCTGCTGGAGAAAGTGGATGAGCCAAGGCAGAGTCATCGCCACAGAGTTTTATTTGCCGTCCTTGTAGGCAGAATTCCATCGTTAGAGTAGCATAGTTTGTCAAGATCGGCCCCAATGTAGCTAACCATTGAATGCCTAAAACAACATCTGTGCCTTCAATGTCCAGTACGAACAGGTCCAGGTTGAAGGTGTGAGATTGCAGAAGCAAGGTGACCTCATTGCAGATTTGATGACAATGGAGGTAAGCGCCGCTGCCAACACGGACTTTGAATGGTTGGGTAGGTGATGTGGGTAGTGCCAGAAAGGATGACATGCGGTTAGAAATGAAATTATTTGTACTACCGCTGTCAATAAGCACCTGAATGGTATGACCATTTATGCTCCCTTTCATACTCATTGATTTGGCGGAGCGTTGCCCCAAAAAGGCATTAAGGCTAATTTCTGGGCTGAGCTCTTTCTCCGGTTGCGGAGTCAAATCGACTATTGGTGTCTCCAAGTCGTCAGTTGAGTTATCTTCCACTTCTAAATAAAGGAGGGAAGCACGCCCTTTGCAACGGTGACCTGGTGTGAATCGCTCGTCACAGTTAAAACACAACCCTTTTGCTCTTCGATCTTGCTGCTCGGCTGCTGTTAGTCTACGAATAGGGAGTTTATTTGTTGGTTGTGACATGGCAGAAGCTTCAGGCTGTGATTGTGGGTTTGGGCGGGCAACCCAAGGTCTTGGTAATGATCGGGTGTCAGCAAACTGATCTTCGAAAACTCGAGCTAAAGCAAATGCATCATCCAGATCGCGAGGTCGTTGTGCTGTAACTGCACGCTGAATTTTGGGTTGGAGTCCAGAAATAAATGAACTCTTTAGGATATCAGGTGTAAAGCCAGTCACTTTACTAGCCAAAGCCTCAAACTTATTTTGATAGTCGACCACTGAAGCTGATTGTGAAAGCTTCATTAGTTGACCAGCTGGGTCAGTGTATTCTGATGGACCAAATCTCTTATTCAGACCAAAGACGAAAGTGTCCCAATCTGTAAGACGGCCTGCTTGAGCCATGCTTTGGAACCAACAAGAGGCCGGTGTGTCGAGGTGCATGGAGGCTAGGAGTAACTTGTCTTCTTGTGGTGTTGCATAGTACATGAAGTACCGCTGAACGCTAAAAAGCCAATCAGCAGGGTCGCCAGAGGAAAAACGAAGGAATGTCAGACGAAGCTTGCGGTTTGTATGTCTCCGGTTGAGGTTCTGGTGTGCGGAATGTTGAGTGCGGGACTGGGCCAAGAACACTTGATGAAGGTTGATGAGGTGGAGCGGAATTAGCTCGTATTTGCTCGATCATTGTGGCCAAGAAACGTTGTTCCCGTTCTTGCTCACGTTGCTGTGAAAGTTGGTCACGGTTTTCAAAAGCTGTGTTGAAACTGCTAGTAGTCTCTCAAAAGTGTCATCCTCTGTGTTTGTGTTGTGTGTTCTAGTCTGCGGTGCCATTGAGGAGGTTGAGGAAGCAACGAAAGCACCAAATTGTTAGAAGTCCTCTTGCTGGCTGATTTCAAATCAGACCTTAATTGCACTTTCCAATTTTAGCATCATCAGTTCATGATTGAATGCAATTGTATCTCTGTTACGTCTTGTGTAAACCTTTAGGGGCTGGTTTAATTGTGTAACATTAGGAGAAATAGTTACTTTTGTCTTGGATGAAAAATCTCATGCAATCCTCCCAAGTTTTCCTCTTTTCTACTTGTACACTTTCCACAAATTTGGGTTTTTTTTTGCATATGTACCTCCAAAATCTAATATATTTGCAAATTTATCCCTAAAATCTAGATATTTGCAAACTTACCCTAAAGCAAGCATAATTTATTTTTATATTGTTTTTCAAGGAAATATTTGTGGGCGAACCGAGAACAGTAACTCAACAGTACCTGAAGACGGATATTCTCAAACATGCTATTTTGATTGTGGGATATGGATATTGTGTGACAGAAAAGCTCAACTATTGGATAATAAAGAACTCTCAAGGCACTGATTGGGCAAATGGCGGATTTATGAGAGTTTGCTGAGACTCGAGCCTCCCGGAGGATCATGTGCCTCTCATATCGAGAGCTTCCTACCCTGTACTTCTGGATGAGTGAATGTTATGAGGTTTTGTTTCTCTGGACAAGTAAATAATCTGGAATGCAGAAAGTATTGATAAATATAAACACGAGTATTTGTGGTATCAACATGAAATATAAACATATCTATTATTCATTAGAAAACATGTTAACTTAAAAATACTAACTTCAGTGAGATAAGTTTATATTTCATTATAAGTTTATATTTCATGTTTTCTAATGAATAATAGATATGTCAATTAGTCTTGAAGAAAAAGAAATGAATGCATCATATCATGCTATTCTGTGCAATGGGAAAAAGATATTTTTAAATTTACTATGCTTTTATGTATAAGATTGTCAAGCTAAAATTCAGTCCATAACAATTTCAGCACGCAAAATTTTTAAGTTCATAGTGCAACGTCCAGAATCCTGTAAGACCTGGTATTTCTTTCTCATTTATTTGTATTTTGTAGTACTTTATTTCTGTTATCTTTCCTCAAACTAAAGAATAATTTACCTATGCAACAACTATAGGTTGGCGTTGTTACAATATTGCAGCATTTGTCGGTTCCATTTTTCTTAATATAAACTATGGTTGCAAAGGCTAGTTTTATGTTTAATTGAGAGATCAGAACATATTGCATTAATTAGATGTAGAATGCAGAATGCAGAAAGTATCGATAAATGGCTCCAACTTTCAACTATCTTCTCTTGCTTCTCATTTAGACACATTCTTTTAGTTGAAACTGATAAAGTGTTCAGTGTTCCACATAACATGCAAATGTGTCACATTTTTTGCTGGACATTAATTGAAACCCCTTTACCTTCACTATTGTTCACAATTTATTACCCTAGTTTAGTTTACAATAATATTTACATATTTAGCTCCTACATGGTCTTTCGTTTTATCTTTCTTTGACGCTAGAAGTTCATACGCTTCAATATTATTATTATATCATTATTTCGATCTTATAACAAACGTTTGCTACTTCTTTCATTTTAGCTACCAATGCTAATTGTATTATTGTTGCTAGTGATATCATTTTTGTCATTATTATTAATATTTTTATTGTTGTTGTTGTTGCTGTTGTTGTTGTTGTTGTCAATTTCCTTGGTTTAATTTAAGTCTGTAATCTATATTCTCTAATTGCTTGTTCAAATTGGTTGATAGGGTTCTAATCTCCAGTTCTTAAAGATCACCAACCTTTGTACCAAATTGGGGGGTCCTGACCATGCCTATATTACTTTTGAGGTGAAAAATGGTGATGATGGCGGTGCTAAGGTGTATCAAACTCGGGTTGGTATCTTTCCTGGAAGACACATGATCGAAGAGGTTAGACTGAAAGGAGTAAACTAAAGGTAAATTGTCAAGTAAATTAGTTTTTGTAACAAATGCCTTTATTCACATGTAAAAGGATTACTCTTCTAGTTATGCTGGTGAAAAGCAACCATTGACTTTAAGAATTAGGTCTATGTGGGAAGAAAATTATGACTTAATAGCTAATATTTATCTTTTTGAAAGTTTAATAGAAACCTGTACTTGCATATTTTATCTCTTTCTCTCTTTATATGCATGTATGAATCTGTGCTAGGTTGTTTGTATCAATAGGATGGGAACTAACCTTCCTCTTTACTAATATTATGTATAACTGTAGCTTGTAATTGGGTCACTTATGGAATGATAACCCTCCATTTTGTTCATTTCAAATAAAATACTAATTTCTAGTAGTCCATGGATTGAAGAAAGTATTTAAGGACAATGTTATTATTAAATGCTAAAACCCCAGTGATATTCAGATGAAAGTGCAACATGTATAATGATACAAAATCTCTACAAGTCTAAGATTGTCAAAAACATAAGACCGTAATTATGTAGAGTAAATTCATTAAAATATCATTATTAATGAAAATGTCATCCTGTTCAACATAACTTGTAAATTTTCTGCACCACTGTGTTTATGCACCATATTTCCTTTGAGCAACATAGTCAAGACAAATTTTCAAAAAAAGTGGGTTTGCTTGTAGTACAACAGGGAACATCAACAAAGATTATTACAGTCATTGTAAACAGTTTAAGAATAATAATCTAAATGCATCAAGTTTAAGCAATTCTCTGTTAAGCTGAAGGTCTAGGGTCTTTTGTTCCAAATTAATTTATTTTTAATTGGTTAGGCCAGTTACTACATGAATTGTGAATGAACTCTAGATCCAATTCGCATCTAATGCTTAAAATATGAAGAGAATAATTTTAATGAATATGTTCGTTTATGCTTTATTGCCTTTTATTTTGTTTGAGTTAAACATAATTTTTGATGTTAAGGGTCCTAAATAAGTACTGCTTTTATGTGGTGATATTTTCAAACTTCATTTGGCTTCATATGATGTGAAATATAAATATATATCCATGAATATAGAAAATACATTGTCAGAAGAAATAGCTCTAATCTGACGTTTTCATAAGCTTCTTCTAAACCACTTCCTTATGCCCTTAGCTTAACACTGAAGTCCTAGAAAGTAGAATCTTTTTAGCTCCTGCACAGTCACGGTAAGGCTTGCCTAAGTTGCATGTTTTCTTTGCATCTTCAGACTGTAATGCATGTTTCAATTCAAATGCAAATCAAGTGATAAATAACATGAATAATATAATATTGTTGGCCAAATTAATGAGGTTCATCCGGACAGGCCTATTGTCTGGGCCTTGGGTTTTAGTAGTATGATATGTCAGCAATTGCTTATAAGTGATTTCTTATTATTGCAAATATCTCAGGTTTTTCTTAATACTTTGCAGTTATGGAACTGGAGCAATTATGTCTGTACCTCACATGATTCTTGTGACCACGAGTTTGCCCTAAAATATGACATCCCAATTACGAGAGTCGTGAAGCCATTTGATGAAAATTATGATGAAGGTGAGCCATTTTTAGGCGATGGTACCGTGATAAATTCATCTAGTTCACTGACTGGATTGGATATCAATGGATTATCTTGTAAAGAAGCTGCCTCCAAAGCACTGTTTTAAATATCGGCCGATAACCGATATTATCGGCCGAGTTATCGGATTTGGGAACTCTCCGATAGGATAACTTGGATTTTTAATCGGTTATCGTTTTTGGCAAGTTATCGGGGAGTTATCGGCGTTATCGGTACTTATCGGCCGATAAGTAAGGTTTTTTTATCGGGATTATCGGCCGATAAGTAAGGCTATGCAATCGAATGGTTTCATCGTGCGGTCAAGATGCAAGTTTTGCTTTCTACAATTGGTTAGTGATTCTAAACATGATGATTTACATTTTGGTATGTTTATATTTCATTAAGCATGGTTAGATTATATTTTTTAGTTATTATATTATATATATACACCATCTAGTATATCACTCCGATAAATACTACTTATCCCCGATATATCCCCGATTTCCGCTATCCGATAAGAATTTTGGTCGTCCGATAAATTCCCGATAACCGATATTTAAAACCTTGCTCCAAAGTCATAGATTAGCTTGATAGTACTGGCCAAGGAAAGAAAATGGTATTGTTATTTTTCCATTTTTTCTGCTCACCCTTTACCATCTGTGCTTTGTTTAATTTAAAATGTGAACCTTAATCAGGTGAACTACAAGTTGAGAGATTGGCTTTTTGCTAGACAACGCTACTGGGGAGAACCCTTTCCAGTAATTTACTTAGATGAAACTGGTGAAACTGTGCCTCGCCTTGAAAGTGAGCTACCCCTTTCTCTGCCTGAATTAGATGATTTTTCTCCTACTGGAACAGGGTTACAGGAGAACCCCCTTTGGCCAAAGCAGTGTCCTGGGTATGTATAGCAAGCATTATTACACATCAAATATTCATATATAGTATTATTTGTTCACATACTTATGACATCGTCCGTCGTACTTGTTTTAAACTATTTAATCCTATTCTGTTTTATTGTACTGAGTACAGAAGAAGCTTATGAGATAAATTTTCTATGCTAATGTGGTTACTGGGCAAGTGTGTTGTCAGAAGGGGACTTTTTTTGGTTGGGAACCTTTATACTAGGATCTAGGATTAAGTCTTGAGGCATAACCTTCAACCCACATTTATTTAATTATTTATTACCTTTACCATTGGCTATGGATGTGTGCTTGTTCAAGTTAAACCACAGAAATCTCATGCTTATCTCTTTTCTGTTTGTCCATTTTGTTAATCTTGTTACTATCTTTGTGTTTGGTGAAATCTGTAAATATTCTACAACATCACGACTTGATTCCATCTAAGCATCTAGCTAAAAATCATGGAAGCAACATTTTAATTTTGAAAAAAAACATTTGATTGTGATGAAAAAACACATGTGCAAAGCTATATCTGTGGAATGTTTAGAGTTGCGGATATAACAATTAGATGAATGTGATTTCGTGGCCCTTCAATTCTCTTAAATGTGGTAAAGCTGAATTCTATGATAACACTCCCTCACTGCTTGTTGACATAGTCTTGTTTCACATTGTTGCTTTACATGGTCATACTGCTGAGTTATAACTACATCCACTTAGCTGAAAAAACTTGAAGAATGATAGATTGTTAAGTAATATTTATACAACAATGATCTCTGAAATATACTTGACCAGTACCCTCCATAACATATAAATATATAATGCTCATTTGGTTTTCCTAATCTTATTACTACTCGACATTTTGTCCCAAATCATTCGCTCCAAACCTTACAATAGATGCATATAATTTTTCAGGTAAGAACAATTGATCCTGTGACTGGAAAACCAGCAAGAAGAGAAACAAGTACTATGCCACAATGGGCTGGATCTTGTTGGTAATATTATCCATTACCCCGCTAAAACAATGTATTTACGCCACAACTCTTGCTATATTTGCGCATCAATTTCTTTGAAATTTGATTCTGAACTGTTCTGACCTAGGACACATGGGAAATACGGTGATAAGTATTTACCTTGAAAGTTCTTTAAGAAACTTTGCTTGTAAGTTGTGAATATCTCTGATATACGCAATTTTTTTGTAACGCATAACAAATTTAAAATGTGTTGGATCATGTAGACTATCAGATCAGGTAGACTATCATCGTACAGTTTAAATCATGCTGTTGTGAGTTCGATACTATCTTTGGTGAAAGCTAAACAGTGATTGGTTTTCAGAAAGGAAATACTTCGTACTGAAAAAGCACTTTAAAATTTTGTAATGATGTCCAGTTTATAGTAATAAAGTCTGTTCGTTTCCCTCATTTAGTTCTGCACTTGTCATCTCAATCTTACAGAGGGAGCTATAACCAAGTTAATGATCCTTGGTCACTTATGGAATAGTACACCTAAAAATTTGAGTAGGTTACATATTAGCTACTAAGTTGCCCCAGACATGCATATAGGTGGAGATGTAGGTATGAACACATAAATATGGGAACACAAGCTTGTAGTCGGTAGGTTGCGGGACTCAATTGTTGTATACGTTTAATATATGTTCCATATATATTATATATATTATATACAATTAAAAAGTGACATCTAAAAACTTTTTGAATATCATAGATCAATAGTTAGACTGTCATAACTTTATAACAGTAAGAGAGAGGTACCCTGAAATAAAAAAAGTCAATGCTAACAGCACTAATTTACATTGAGAAGGGTTAAAATGACTTATTGTGATTGAATCACTGGTTTACTATGTTAACAAATTAAATCTCATGGACCTAACAAGAAAAAGTGTCTGCTTGTGTCTTGAACTTAAAGGATCAAACTTTTGAGTAAGAAAGATTAGGTGTGTCTAATTTGGTGCCTATGGTATTCCCTTGGAAGTATCTGTGTCCTACTTGTGTCAAACACTGGTAGTTCATGAAGAAGCGTCCCTACTTTATATCAGTAGTATGAACCTTATGAATGTTGGTAATACTGAAAATTTTCAGTGTATCACATAGTGAGCAACTAATCAGTAGTATGAACCTTATGAATGTTGGTAATACTGAAAATTTTCAGTGTATCACATAGTGAGCAACTACGCTTGTAGCCTCTAACTGACCAGTTTTAATCTGCAGCCATTAGAGCTGAATTGATGCCTGACTCATATTTGGATACTATTTTCTGTATCTTCAGCTTTTCTTAGGTTGAGGAAATTTTTTTATCACCCTATGATGGATAGATATCTCCATATATGGCAAGTTATTTCGCTTACAAAGAAGATAATTTTGCTTCATTGAATGTTCCGTGCAGGTACTATTTGAGATTTATGGACCCTAAATATGGCACGGAATTAGTAAGCAAGGCTAAAGAACGGTATGCAGCTTCTCCTTTTGTCCTGTATGGCGTACATAGGCGTTAATTATGATGTGGCTGAGCATCTGTTTGATTTGCTATATATAATCAGATATTGGGGTCCTGTGGACATTTATATTGGTGGAGCAGAACATTCCGTCTTGCATTTGCTTTATGCAAGGTTTTGGCACAAGGTTCCCCTCGGTCTAATTTTATATTTATTTAAATAATTTTGATATTATAAATTAACTTAGTGCAGTAAAAACTTTTGAATTAATCCGTTATGTTATTTTTACTATTACGTATTATTTTGTATAATCCGTTGTGCTATTATTACTATTACGCATTATTTTGTATAATCCGTTGTGTTATTATTATTACTACTACATATTATTTTGTATAATCTGTTGTGTTAATGTTACTTGTACATATTATTTTATACATAAGTTTTTCATAATTATTTAATTTGATACCTAATTAATTATTAATTTTATTTAATATTTTCGTTAAAACCCTAACCCTAACCCTAACCCTATATATATTTACTTTTTTCGTTTTCCTTCTCCTATTCACGTGAACCCAATCGCACTGACCCATCGCACCCATGCTTTCTCTCTCTTCTCCCCCTCGTTCTCATCCCGCCACCTCCTTCATTCTCTCCCTCTCTCAACCCAACCTCCTCTTGCGCCGCGCCCCACCTCACCGACGGAACTCCGACATATACTCCGCCCAACGCCAGCACCCCGAGCCCATCCTGCCCTCAAACACGTCCTCCGCCTTAGCCATTGCCCGCCTCCTCCGCTCGAGCTGCACGCCCTCATCCACCGTCGCCAACCCCCAGCAGTCATCACTGCCATATCCGCCCCATCTCCTCTCCGACCCCTGCCCTTCCTCCCTACCCGAGCTCGCCGACTCCCTCTAGTCCTTCCACCCTTCCACCACCACATCAAGCCTCCAGCCGCACCAGCACCAGATCCGCCTCCGCCTCCATCCGACAGCCTATAGCCTAACCCTGTACCCGCCTCGCGCTCCGCCGCCGAGGCCCACTAGACCCGAGCTCTCTTCCCCTGCCCGCCGTCATCATGCCTAGATCCACTCGACCCCCGATGATAGCCACCGACGAGCTCCCACATCGTCGCTAACCCACCTCCTCCCTGAGATCAGACCCGCGCTGTCGAACCTCCATCGTCGACCAGTCGCGCGATGACGTCGTTTGACAGGCCGGCATTGTCCCCCGCTGCTCCGTTCACGCCCACGAACCCGAGGCAAGATCCCATTACTCATTGACTCGTCTTTATAATTTTTGATATACTGTTAATTAAGTACGTGCATAGATTAGTTGTAATGTGAATATTGTGACAACCTACGTGGGATTGTTGATGAATTATATTAAATGATGAGAATTATTTTCAAAAATAGAAACGGTTACTGATCATATAGAAAATAAAAAAAGAGAATATTTTTAAAGAGTATTTTTAGAATAATTACTACGAGAAATAATTTTAAAGGAATTTAAAAAAAAGAGAATATTTTTAAAGAGTATTTTTAGAATAATTACTACGAGAAATAATTTTAAAGGAATTTATTTTACAAAAGGATTATTTGAATTAATATTTATTTTAAAGATTATTTTAGAATAATTATAATGAATTTATTTTGAAAAGGAAATTATTTATGAATAATTATTATGAGGAATAAATAATTTATCTTGAAAAAAGATTTATTTTGAAAAAAGAATTATTTGATCTGCTCACTGCTGCTGTACACACACACACCGTACTGTTCATAGTCTCCATACATGTTTTACAACCTTTATTTTGATTTCTTGACATGCTATGTTATTGTTGCACATGATCGGTTGTATTTATTTACTATTTTCCTTGTGATTGAGAACCAATACTAGTTCATTGACTTAGGGTCTTTGTGCGTCATGAACAAGACTTAGTGACATATGTGAGTGCGTTGACTAAATTAGGGGGTGAACCAGAATTCTATTGTAGGTTATGGTAATTGACTTAGAATAACGAGAAGAGTTGGGATGGAAAAGTTATAGTTTATGTGATCGGATATGGTTGTTGATAAATTTTTCAGGCTCACACCAGTGGTTGGTATCGTCACTGCGGTTGGTTTGTAGGGCCAAAGTGAAGTGTGTACATCACTTTGGTCAGTGATAATTTATTTCGTCACCCGAGTTTTGTTTGAGTTTGGACCAGACAGAAAACAGGTTACGTGTAGTCCTCTGACCGTATATGTAGCGTGATTGGGTGCACGTAGGGGATTTGTGAACAGTCAGTTATATGATAATATGAACGTTTACTTTACGTGAGATGTGGACCAGTGACCTATTATAGGATGGTTAGTTTATGACCTAGATTACCGGTTGATTTTAGATTCTTTTGATCGCTATCATAGTGGTGGATTTCATTTAAATTATTAGAATTTTAATACCATGTTTCTATTATTATTACTGTCATTGCATTGGTCATTCGACCGTTTTATTTCTTCAATGTGGGATCTTGTCATGTACCATACACGCTAATGTATACCTGTTTTTTCTGGTGTACGTTAGATTTAGAGGACGGATAGGTCTAGTATGATGATGCATTAGAGCCGGTGTATGCCCAGCCGGAAGGTCTTCTAGATGGAGTAGAAGGACAACAGAAGCTTAGTTATTTTCCTTATGTAGTAGTTGTTGGACTTTGAATTATTTTGTCGTATTTCCCTCTCAGAACAGTTGATGTTAATTTTCTAACTACCCAGTTTTAGTTGTACGTTTTGTATCAGGACATGTTGACTCTTTTATAATGTCTCGGATGATATTTTTCTTGTGATATGTATCATGTTGTTCTGGGTTATTATATTCTTGCTATATGTGATTGGGGGACCTGTGATTTCGCATTGTATTATTGATTGACGCTTAGAGTATTCGGTTGAGGAGAAATGTATATTTTTATTTATTCTCCACAATCTAATACGTCGCAAGCTTGTTCACGTTTCGATTCTCGGGTATTTTGGGAAGCAGGACGTGACAGGTTTTTTTGGTGGCCCATGAAGGTCACGGTCCCAAGTTCCTACCAGTGAGAATATAATGGACAATTTAGACGCATATCATATTTCATCCGTAAGACTATAGTTAGCCTTTATCCTATCATTTCGATAAATTATGTCTTAGTCCCTACCTTATCACTTTTTAACTCTGGAGTTTCCCACTGTTTCTTGTCTCGTCACTTCCTTACTACACACTCTTCCTATAACTTTTCTTTCCTCGTATCAGTCATTATTTTATGTGTTATTATTTTTACACTATATTTTCTTTAATTTGACTTATATATCGTTTAATTATATTGATTTCTGTATTATTTATTACATTATTTCATGTATCACACACAGTGTTATATTGTAGGTTTTTTTATTAAAAATATAAATCATTACTTATACATTTTTAATTGTTCAAATCATGTCATTAAGTGTTTCGCATTGCTCTAGACTTCACATATACATCACATAACGTATCTGATATTTAGATTATTTTATTGTGTTTAATTATACTTTTTCATATCTGCATTATGTATGTGTGCGTTTTCTGTCATACCATCTATTATTTACTTATGTTTTAGATTATTGTATATTGTTCGTATTTTTAGTGATATACATTAATAAGTTCATGATTTTAATATTCTACATATACATTCTTATTCTTTATTTTATACATTAATAAGTTCATGATTTTAATATTCTACATATACATTCTTATTCTTTATTTTTAACTCACAACATTTTCAGTACATAATTATCTTATCAATCAGTTTTGTCTTGTTTAGGTTGTTTTAGTATGTTCATATTGGTTTCGTTATTGCTAAGAGCCATGTATTTTTATTTTGATATTCAAACATTTATTCACATTGTTAGGTTTGGAGTTGAGTTACTAATTATATATGTTTTGTTACATTATCTCGTATCATTAGTTATTATTCTTTTATAACCAATATAAAAGATAATTCTAAATAGCGTTGTGGTGTGTATGATATTTACTCATGGGTTGTTTATAGTGCATTTGCGTATTTGTTGTTGCTTTATTTTCGATATGTATATTTTGTCATATCGACAATATTCATTGTATACATATATTATTTTTCAGTGTTTATTTTATGATATTTTTAGATTTTTATGTCTTTTATTGTGTTATTAGTTGTTCATTCTCTATTCATTATTTTCGTTTATTTGTGTTGTGTTTTACTTTTTTTATTATTTTTATATTTACTATTCTCTTTTCAGTTGTAGTGTATTCACGTATATTATTATATTATGATGTATATTTTTATTGATTTATAGTCATTCATCATTTCTATTATCAACTTTGTCTAATCGTGTTCTGTTTTATGTATTATCAGTGTTTATATTTACATGTTCATCAATCATTCATGGTATGTTTATTTACAATATCTCGGTGTTTTTATTATCTGAATTTATGCCCTTCTTATGTTTTTATTTGTTTATAAATCTATTTTATCTTCCATAGTTCATGTTTTATATATTATACATTTTAATTTATGTATATTTATGCTGATTGTATTTATGTGATTTTTGACTACTATACAATATACTATTATATCTGAATTGATTTTATATAGTGATGATTATTATTGTTGTATCTTGTTTATAGTTATTATTTTACCTTATGAATATTACTAATATTTTTGATTTATTATATTTTTTGTCGAATATGTATAATTATGTACTTCTTATTGTGTTTTATATAAATGCCTATTTTGAATCGTTTGTTTACACTTACGTTTATTTTTATCATATAATATTTTGTGACTATTTCTATCATAATTTATCTTGTTAGCATGATTAATACTATATGTGTATTCAAACTTTTATATGCTTATTATTATGTATGTGTTTTTATTTTTAACGGCTATCATATATGATGATTTTAATTGCTATATTATATAAACATGTTTAATATTTGACTTAATATTGTGTCTTGTATGATAATTATTTACTGCCATATGCTCTCAAAAACTATTGATTATAACTATAACTATTTTTATTGAAATTATCATCATGTTCTATCTTTACTATTTGTTATATTTGATTATTATATTCATGCTTCTTTATGTGCGTTATATTTTTGACTGTTTTAAACATATGTTACTATAATTACTAGGGGTGGGCAAAAACCGAAACAAACCGGTTCAACCGAAAAAACCGCCCGAAAAAACGGATCGGTTAACCGAACCGAATTAAATGGATGATAAGAAGTCTCTAAACCGCCCGAACCGAATTAAACCGGTCTAGATCCGGTTTGAACCCCTGAACCGCCCAAAAAAAACCGAACCGAATTCTTAAACAAAAAGTAGCTGCGAGCCTTGGGTGTGAAGAAATTTTATGGCTGAATGTTTAGCATTTAAGAATTGTGGGGTGGAGTTTATACTAACATATATTTGAGTACGCTGATATAGTTAAGTGAGATTTCCGTAAATCAATACAAGATGTTGAGGTTGAAGGATAAATTTAGTGTTTTGGTCAAATTTCAGTGATAACATGAATACAGCTTGCTGGTGCTGGATATCAAATTAACCTATAGTTTAGGGTGTCAATGATATAAGATAATTCTTGATGAGAAAAAGACAGCTAAAGATTAACGAAAATCATCAAAAGGTATGTGTGCCTGCCAAACATTGTTCTTTCTCTAAAAAAGGCTACATAATTACATGGTCCTCCTAGTGTATTAAGCTAGTTATATGCAGATCATACAATTTGATTAAGTGTCTTAGTACAGTTTTGATTGTATCTTTTCAGTTTTGATTACTTCTTTTCAGTTTTGGATATAACTAAAACTTACCCAGATTTTTGTAAAATGGAGTTAATTCGGTTCAAAACCGAAACCGAACTGAACCGAACCGAATTTCGGTTGGGCCGAATATTCGGATGAAGGGGAAAAAAAATCTGGATCTGGATGAGAGTTTTGAGAATCCGAAAAATTCGGATTGGATGCGGATTGGGCTTAAAACCGAACCGAACCGAATACGCCCAGCCCTAATAATTACTATCGTCAAATCTTTTAAAATAATTGTAAATTTTAAAATTTTCGGAATTTATGCCTTTATATGTCTTATTTGGTTGAATGTGATTTGCTGATTTTATTCATGTGTTTGTTTGTAATTATACTTTTTGTATATCTTGAATGTCTATTCTACTAACTGATAGTATGATATTTCTATTGTGATTTGATTTTTATTATTTTCATGTATGTTGTCTATTGTGTTTGTCTAAACTATATGTATGTTTGATTCTTTGCTGTTTTGTTTTGCTTATTCCTCGTCAAATATTTCTTTTGCTTTTGCTTTTGCTTGTATATGATTCATCTGTTATTGTATTGTGTTTTTATGTTTTGTGTTTTATCATGTTTATCATTTACTTACGTATGAGTGATTTATACTTTGTCGAGACCTTTTATCTTTTATCTTCTTTATCATGTATATGAGTGTTTTATCATGTTTATCATTTGCTTGTATATGAGTGTTTTATCATGTTTATCATTTTTCAATAGATTGTGGATATTTTTAGCCTATTTGAATGAATTACGGGTTAATTACCATATATATTATGAATCATGAATGAATTCTATATCCTCTCGTCCAGTCCAAATATTTAAAGTAATTAAGTGCATATAAAACATCCTATAAAGAGTTTTATATGTGAAAGTAACATAATTCTGAAAGAGGTAAATTTCACAAACCAAAGTTTTGATTGGTTTTGCGGGAAACATCCCAATGTTTTGGTAGGTTTTCTGAAATTTGCTCATATTGAAATGTCCTTGGCAGTATAAGCTTCCTTTATGTAAGGTGTTTCTTTATGCTCTATAGTTTTTATTAAACATACCAAAGTATATACTTATTAATGGAAATATATCCTCCATAGAACATAGTGTAGGACGGAAAGGGTGACATTTGACATTAAAAATGTTGATGCACATACTACCAATGTCTATTAGTGTTGTCTTTATTGTCTATTAGTGTAGTGGTGACTGCACCCCTAATGTCTATACTGATAGGTCTATCATATCAGTATATCAGGTTTTTTTTTGGTGGGGTGGGGGGGGTGGGGGTGG